TCTCTTACTTGTGAGGGGAATGCTCTAACCACTGAGCTACAGGACTCCTAGAAACATATTGATCAAGTAACCTATTGATCTCATTGCCTCAGCTAAAATAGGTTAGTTTCTTGATAAGATCAGAGTGCTTTATCCAAAAAATTGGGGGAATCAGATAAGTCAATTACTAATAAGCATAAACTTCTACATTTTAGGATTGCCACCACATATGACATCAATCCAAAAACATTATGCTACCCTGTGTGAGGGGTACTGTATATATAAAAAAAAGAATGATAATAATAATTTGGTCACTCAGTCCAACTGCAGTTGGCTGCGCGTTTTGCCCACAAAATATACAGTTAAGTCACTCTACAGCATATTCTGTGATGTGCTTTGAGACATCGCAAAGACTCGATAAGGCGCTATATCAAATGTAAGGATTATTATTATTATACTGGTAATTTACTCTGCAACAAGAGTTAAAAGCCCCATACTCTGTTGGACCACAGAGTATGCATTTATTTAGTACCAATTACGTCCGGAAGATATCCCAAGGTGCTGGACAGTTGAGGATTTTGCACCCAAGATGGGGGTTGTATTTGAGAGCACTCTGGGATGCTACCCTGCGTGAAGGGTGCTATATAAATGCAAGTTGTTTTTGTTGAGAGGGTTGGTGGTGCAGCATTGAAAGTGTGAGGCAGAAATTCCATCTCGTTCTAAATTAGGCCTTTAAGCAAAAAAATCAGAGCATGTAAAATTTAGCTAGTTTATATATTGTCTAATTATTAAGCTTTTTTCCACAAGTTATTATAGGAATTACAGAAAACGAGCTTCCAAATTAATAGTAATCCTTGCATTTGGTGTAGCGCACAGCAATGTTCCACAAACATCCATGAAATGATAGACTGATTTTGTGCTTCACGGGGAAGCAGGGAATGACAACACTCAGTTGGCAGGAATGTGACAAGCAGCTCACCAAAAATTCATTCATGTCACTTTTAATCAACAAGAGCAAAATATATTTCTGAATTGTATCTTTCACTTCATATTTAAATACATTGATTTTAATATATTTTTAGGCTAAATATACTTCCAATGTCTATGTGATTAATGTCACTAATTTTGGTAAGTTATTGAAAGGTAGCTATTGAATATATGTTTTAAGTGTCGTTGTAATACAGTAATCCTTTACATTCCTAAATACGTGCCTATTGACAGTGACTTGGAGAGGATTGATTAATGACAGCTTTGGTTAGTTGATAGCATGCTCGCCTCTGAGTCAGGTTATGGTTTCAAGTTCCATGTAGTGTGCTACATTGTTGGTGGTGCCATCGTTCGGATGAGATGTTAAATGGATGTTGCATCTGCCTCTTGAGGTGGATGTTAAAAATCCCATTTCACTATTCGAAAAGAGAAAGGAGATTCTCCCGGTGTCCTGGCCAACAATCCCCCAAATAAAATTGGTCATCCAAACACCATGTCTGTTTGTGGGACATTGCTGTGCGCAAATTGACTGCTGTGTTCACCCACAAAAATACACACAGCCACACAACTTTACAGTATATCCTGTGAAATGATTTGAGAAATCTCGACGACCTGATAAGGCGCTATAACAAATGTAAGCATTATTATTACAGCCAACATGGATTTGTAAAAGGGAAGTCTTGCTTCACAAATTTAATAGAGTTCTTTGAGAAAGTATCTGAGTGTACTATTGAAGGACATATAGTGGTTGTGTATATAAATCTCCAGAAGGCCCACATAAGGTACTATATAGACGTGAAAGGCTCTATATAAATGCAATTTGTTGTTGTTGAAAAAAAATAAGTATGAACATGGTAGCATGGATAGAAAGGACACAAATCAGAGAGAAGGGCTAAATGGATGTTTCCTAGAATAGAGAGATATAAATGGTGGAGTTTCCGCAAAACTGTATTATTACCGTTAATCTTCGCAATACAGGGTAATAGCATGGCGGTCTGGATCCAATATCTCAGATGCCGGGTTCATACTCAATTAGTAGCAAGATCTTGGTTGCTTTCTGAATTCACAGTTCCCCCTAATTTGGTGATGTCTGCAAATGTAACTACTTTGGACTGTCTGACTGTCTGCACATGTTTACACCTGGTTCATAATACAATATGATTTATAATTCCTTTTTATGTAGGGAGGACATCTCAAAGAGCTTTACTCAGCTAGCTGGGCACCCAAGCGGTGCTGAAGACGGTGGGGGAGGGGATTATTAGACCCTATTAATAGCTGGGAAAGATGTCAACTGCCATTTTTAAAAAATTAAAATTCAGTTACTTTTAGCTGCTTGGCCAATCTATACTGGAAGATGCAAGCAGATATATTATCATCGTCAGCAACTCAGTGTTCCATAACGTAACCTCCAACCGATGGAACACTGGATCCTGTTTGGCATCTGCAGGAAACCTATTTCTTACTGCTGGGATCAGAATTGTGCTAAAGTAATTTTAATCACTGGTTTTATTGAGGATATCCTACTGACTGCATTGCCAGTGTTCTCCCTCAGTCTTCAAACAAGCGTGTTATAAACTGAGAGAAATAAATAAGGAAAGGTTCAAGAAGACCATTTGACATGCTGGGCGCAGAATTAGAGGCTATTGGAGGAAGGCAACCTAGCATTTGGAGAGATGTAGGTGAGCTTTGAATAATGGGACATGGTGGTTTGGCTGAGGCTTTTTTTCTTGACGGACATTAGAATTCAGGAATTCTGTGCAGAGTTTTGTGGGCTGTACGAAGTCCATGTTAAGGTAGTTTTGCATAGATTATGGAGGAAATTGCCATGATTGATTGCCATTCGAAAATAGAAGGGAGTTTCTCCCTCTGGGTGTCCTGGCTAACAATTCCCCAAATAAAATTGTTCACTCACTCCATAACTGGTTGTGGGACACTGCTGTGCACGATTCAGCCCGTCAACTCTGCTCCGCCATTTCTTAGATTATGGCCAATGTGTAACTCAACAACAACAACTTGGATTTATATAGCACCCTCTACGCCGGACGGCGTCTCAGTAGCATTTGCCTTTCCTTACCCTCAAACGGTCTTAATATTGTTGGTGTGTCAGTACAGGTCAGTTAGTACCACTCTGGCTTCTGAGTCAGGAGATTCAAGTGCCACGTCTTGGAACTCATATAGTCTAAGCTGATACTCCAATGCAGTGCTGGGGTTATGCTATGTTGTTCAAATGAGATATTAAACCGAGTCCCCGTCTGCCTGTTCAAGTGTTCCGGCCGACAATCCCTCAAATAAATATTGGCCAATAACTCCATGGCTGTTGGTGGGATATTGCTGTGTGCAACTTTGGCTGCTGTGTTCGCCCAGAAAACACACAGTCACTTTGCCTCACAGTGTGTCCTGTGAAGTGCTTTAGGATGCCCTCCTGACCTGAAATATGCTATACTAAATGCAAGGATTAATAGGATTATTATTTTTTTAAGTGTTTAGCTGCTTACCTCTTAAACATTCCCACCAATTTTGCAATGATGGAAATGAGTTCCACTGTCCTTCAACTGTGAGTAAGGAAATCTCTGATTTGATTACTAATATATCAAGCTTTTCACTGCTTGTTTTATTAGAATTACTCTTCCTGTTAGGAACTTGCTTGGGAGGTTAACCAGAGCTTTTCTGGGAAGAAAAGATGTGGGAAAGATATATTTCTTTAATACTAATACTGTAGTAATAATAATCCTTACATTTGATATAGCGGCTTATCACATCTTTGAGGCATCACAAAGCGTTTCACAGAATATACTGTAAAGTGAATTGACTGTATATTTTGTGGGCGAAACCCGGCAGCCAATTGTGCACAGCAGTTGGTGATTGAAGTGACCAATTTATTATTTTTTTTGAAAGAATTATTAACCCCGGAAAAGCGATCCGCCATTCGATTGACAACCGAGTTCCTATTTACTGCAGGTAAACAGAGGCGTGTGGAGTAAGGAAACTTGCCCACCATTTCGCAGAGTCTGCTCTAACCTGAGCTACAGAAATAAAGGACAATTATCTAACAATGAGATGCCATGGACCCTGCTTGCAAGTTTCCTTACTCCACACAGAGCCTAATGATAATCCCTCCAAAACCAAAAACAATAATAAATTGGTCATTTTCAATCTACGACTGTTTGTGGGACATTGCTGTGCGCAATTGGCTGCCGCGTTCGCCCACAAATATACAGTCAATTCACTTTACAGTGTGTTCTGTGAAGCGCTTTGGGACGTCCTCCCGACGTGAAAAGCGCTATATCAAATGCAACGATTATTATTATTATTATTATTATTATTTAGTGGCCTTTAGTGGCGACTAGTATTGAGTCTTGTGAATCTGAATTCTTGCGTTTTTATTTTCTTTTTTTTTAACCTATATGTGCCAGCTAACTGCTACAAAAAGCAGTAAGAGAATTTCATCGTAAGATGTTAATGATTTTGATAATGTTAGTCTTTCTGAAAGCAGTGATTTAGAAAGTGTATGATTAAAGCAATGAAGAATTCCTGACTGTCCAGTGCCTTGGAGTGTCCTCCCGACGTGAAGGGCGCTTTACAAATGTAATTTGTTGCTGTTATTTAATTTATGGTCGTCCCTATACAATGTACAAATTATAATAAGCAGTATTTTGAACTCAGAAGAAAATGCATCCAGTTATTCACAGCACTTATATAATGAATTGCATGTTGACCATGATTTCAATTTCCAAATACTAGGAGCGAGCGGTCTCTTAAGATTAGGATGTTTTGGTGAAATTTCACTGAATTATCAGGTGTATTTAAATTTACAGTAGTTCTGACTGATAATGCTGGTATTAAAGAAATTATACTATTGAGGATAAAAGTTAGAAACTTTTTACATTTCATTAAAGTTTCAAATGAAATATTTTTGTGGGACACTACATTGCATGAGGGGTGCTGTATAAATGCAAGCTGTTGTTTTTACATTCTAAACGTTAGAAACTAATTACATTTTCCGTAACACAACTCTTTTTACTGTCCATTTAAAGGTTCAACTAATGAAACCAGGAAGATTTCGTGGAATACACCTACTCGCTTTGTGCAGAATTCTGGCAAGACACAGACGAGCATAAACTGTGAAACTTTTGCAGTGAGCCCCACCCATTTCCGGTGTGATGTTGCAACACTTCCTGTAAACAAGATTATTGACATTGATGGAGTGATGTTAGAAGATACAATTGTTAGAAATGAAGAGCCAGATGGAAATCTGAGTTTTGAAGGATATATTTCTGAATTGAAATGTTCTAAGGGACGGATGCGCACAGGAGTTTATCGTATGTCAGATTTGCCATCTCTGATCACAGTAAAGAGTGAGAGGAAAAATACCTCAGAATCTCCGCATAAAGCTACCTTTGTCTGAACCTGCATCAAACAGACATTTTAAATAAATAATACAAAGAGTGTGATGCTACTAATCTTTGGAAAATGTAGATGTATATATAGGAATTACTGTAATTGTCAGCATCAGCAATTATTATAACACTGTATTTAGTCACCCCCAGCGATAATTGGAAACATAGAACAAAAATTATCCAAAGTGTCCTTTTTTGGACAAAATATAAACTTTTAAAAATTGAAGCAGATAATATTGGACTAATCAAAAAATCTTGTATTCATTATATGTACAAGATTCTAGTAGATACTGCAACAAAATAAAATATTAGAAATATATTTTATCCAGTATTTATAGTAATCCATCCCAAATAGATTATGATGGGATAGCTTTGATTGAACACAAGGTAAAATGTAAAGTGGGTGAAGCTTGTGTGAATATAAGGATCTATTAATTTAGGTCTCTGTGCCTATTTCAAAATACATGTAGAAATATGTTCTCGAACAGGGTTAATCAAATTACAATAAGTATCTTAATGTTCATTAGAATATATAATGTTTTGCTAAGGAAAAGTAATTCTATCAAATTACCCCATTCTAAATTTTAGAAGGATTGTCCTGGTGCCTCAGTGGTTCTATACTGTTTTTTATAACTTGGTTAGATGTTGCATGATATATTGTACATAATTCTACTTTTATATATGATGCATCTCAGTGATAACATGAATAGCACCAACAGCCACTAGTACAGAATTCAACTCACTCAAAGGAGAATGTTCCCAAAATGTCTGATCCCATGCTGCTCAACATACTAATAAATAGACATGACACTCTGCAGTGGAGTTGTTGACATCTCTCTTTATAGCTCTGGCTTGAAAGAAGTAGAATATACTCTTCCCTTAACTGTTTTATTTTGTAGGTTATTATTGTATAAATCACGACTGATTATTATGTTAAAAATACAGTAACCCAAAGAATTACATTAAAAAAATTCAGAGCAAAATGAAGATGAAATTTATCTTATCTCTGCAATTTATATATAGTTGATTTGGCTGAATGTACAAGGGTCTTGTTGCATTGCAATATAAATATGTAGACAGAGGAAACAATAGCTACACAGAATTTTCCATCTTTCTATCTTTTATGTAAACAAAATGTTCTGCTGTAACAAGCACATAAAACTGTATTACTGTGCTGGAAACATGATCAAAACATATTTTTAATGTTTTTGATCAACTATCGAATTAGGTAATTCATAGAAATCTCTGTATACTGGTGTATTATATGTATACTATTATTCCCAGCAAAACATTAATCAGTGATTTAATACTATAGTATTGTTATCTTGTGTTATTGAATAGTGAGAATCCTCAAAAATTATTTCCGTTTGAAACGAATTGTGTATCAGTGAGAACCCTGGAGGACTGTAAACCTGAAAAGTGATTATAAGAATAAGGAGATTGTGGGTTGGTGTGTGAAAGTCTCACAGGTTCTATATGAATTGCTTTTACATTATCAGATATAGATGCAACTTCTGACTCACAGGTTGCAAGTTAAAACCTCATTTTTGTTTGACTGGGGGAGGGCAGAGAGGAGGAATAAGAAAACAATTCCTTTCAGACCTTAAAATTGTTAGCTTTTTACTGGGAGGTCGAACTGTGCTTATGTACTATTTGTTGTGGTCATCCAGGTGTCTGGTACATACGTGGAAACCCATCACCATGATTGAAGTATCCAGACCAGATTGAGAGTTCTATTTATGCCACCTATGCAATGAGAATTTCTGTGTCTGGAATGGATTGTGCACTCTCTCCCTAGAGGGATGCACCCGGCTTATCTATTTTCTGCTAATACAAACAGATTGACCAGAGCCAAGGGACAATGATTGCACAATGTTAGTAATGGTGTCATATTTCTACCATGGTTTTTTAATATCTTCTGACTTCTAGCTCAATGCTTCCTGATAAGTAAGAGTTGTACTGTGGGTACTGTCATAACATGTTACAACATACCTACAGATGGTTAAGTAACCTATTAAGAAAAGCCAAATACAGTTTACTTTTTTCCAATGTGTTTAGAATTATTCATGAACCATTGGTAAACAATTACTTAGATCTACATAGATTGTACAGGACGGAAACAGACCATTTGGACCCATGTGGGTCTCCAGCTTACTCCCTCCCATACCCTTCTATTCCCTTCTCCCTCATGCGAATATCTAGCTTCTTCTTAAATGCGTCTTAGCTGGCTGCTTCAACCACCACTTAGTTAGGACTACCTTCTCACTATCCTGTGAAGTAGTTCCTAAATACTCTTTTAGATCACGTAGTTACTATCTTATACATGAGTCTCCTGGTATGGATTCTCCAACAAGTGAGAACAGCTTATTTATGCTAACCTTATGAAACGCTTTTATAATTTTAAACACCTCCACTGGGTTGCCTCTTAAATGTCGTTTCTAGTGAAAAAAGGCTTAATCTATGCAGTCAGTCCTGGTGGAGTCCTGTAGCTCAGTGGTTAGAGCATTATTCTCACAAGCGAGAGGCCTGGGTTTGATTCCCGGCAGAGCAAAACCATGGGCAAGTTTCCTTACTCCACACGCCTGATAATAATCCCTCAAGAAAAACAACAATAATAAATTGGTCATTTTCAATCCAGACTGTTTGTGGGACATTGCTGTGCGCAATTGGCTGCCACGTTTCACCCACAAATATACAGTCACTTTACAGTATATTTGTGAAACGTTTTGAGACGTCGAGAAGATGTGAAAAGCTCTAGATCAACTGCAAGGATAATGATTGTTATTATTATTATTATAGTAGTAACTTGCTAACTCATGCGTGTTCTACCTTTTATCTTCCGTGTTCTGCAACTCCTAACACAGATTCATTCTCAGACAAAGCATGCCATTCTTTCTGGCCTTAACATTTCAACATCATATCTATTATTCCCAGTTGTATTCTTTATAAGAATAAGGAGATCCTGGGTTGGAGTCAAATCACCTGGGTTGGTGTGTGAAAGTCACAGGTTCTACAGCGTGACCAAAAAGTTGTGATACTATTACAATGTCTAATAAGCCTTGAAGAATTTTTTTTAGATAATAGGGTAACTGAAAAATAAGACTTTTGGTCACCCTGTATATGAATTGCTTTTACATCATCAGATGTTGATGCGACTTCTTACTTCTGACTTACTTCCAAGTTGCAAGTTGAACCTTATTTTATTTATGATGTTGCGGACAGACTCTGAGATCTGTTAGGGGCAGTTGTGGATGACACAGACACTTTCACTACTGTTTCCTCAGCCACTGCAGAAGTAAATGTATTACCAATCAGCTTGATCCCAGGGAGAGATCCCAAACCCAAGCTACCTCACCTTTCTGGCAGAATGTGGAACTTTGCTCCAATGAGGGAATTAAATACATAATTATTTGCTCAAAGGTTTGTGAAATTATACCATTTGTTCAATATAATATTGAACAGGCTAGAATATTGTCAAATAAAAAAATAAACTAATTAATAAATTAAATGGACAAACAATGAAGCTAAAAGAAGGGTTTAAACAGCAGAGGAGATTAACAAAATGTGCCAAGCCATGACAAACAAAAAACAGAACAATGGTTTGAGAACGTGGTTGCCTGGAAAGTGACAGCGTAAACAGAACTCCATGCCTTGGGCATGGAGTGTGTCTCCTGCAGGCTTCTCACTCCATATTTGTTAAACCAACTGCAAGATCTTGGCTCCGAGGACATTGCGAGTTGGAGCCAACGTCTCATGGGTCGGTGTGATGTACATGAAGTTCCTTGGAGGAGATGAATTTTATGTTCCAAAGTATTTTTTTACTTCCAAGTTGCAAGTTGAACCTCATTTTATTTATGATGTTGCGGACAGACTCTGAGATCTGTTAGGGGCAGTTGTGGATGACACATCTCCTTGGAGGAGATGAATTTTATGTTCCAAAGTATTCTTTTTCTGGCGAGGAGACTCCAATTATGCTGTGGTTTTCCCGAAGAATGGTTTTTCATTCACATTTCCTTAAGAAATACAGCAGAACACTGCTGTTCACAGGAAACAGTTGCTCATATTTTTGCAGGAATGCAACAGAATGAACCAAAATCAGTGAAATCAATGATCATGTCCTTCACATGAAATGATGGATACGAGAAAGTGATTCATCAGTGTAAATTATATCATCAGTTTATTAAGTGCCATTTGCATTCCTCTCCCGCACCAGGCTACGTGACCCAATCACCCCCACCCTCGCCCGGCTCCACTGGCTCTCCATCCCCCGGAGGATAGAGTTCAAAATCCTCGTCCTCGCCTTCAAAGCCCTCCACAGCCTTGCCCCTCCCTACCTCTGCGACCTGCTGATCTCATATCAAGTGCCCGCTCCCACTGCTCAACAGGCTCCGACCTGCTCCATGTCCCCGCCAGGCCCGCTCCACTATCAGCGGCCAGGCCTTCAGCCTTTCTCCCCGTACCCTATGGAACTCCATCCCACTTCGCTCCCTCCCTTGCCTCCATCACGGCACATCTCAAAACCCTCCTCTTTGACCGAGCGTCCGGCCACCCTCCTATTCTCCCTGCCCTCCACCCTCCCTGATCCTGACCCCCCAGTGCCTGGCACTATACAAATGTAACTTGTGTTGTACTGCATTAGAAGCTTGACTCCCTCTGCTATTGAACATCTTCCAAAGGAGTGTTTTATTCTAATAGTGCACAGACTTGCACAATATGACAGCTGATTTTTAATTACACAGCGAGTTATAGTACAGAAACAGGCCATTAGGCTCAACTATTCAATGCTGCCGTTTATGTTCCACACAAGCCTCCCCTCCAACTCATCCCCGCTATTCCTTTCTCCCTTGTGTGCATTGTTTCCTCTTAAATACATTGCTGCTTTTTGTTTCAACCACAGCTTCCAGCAGCAAGTTCCACATTCCCATCACTTTCTGCAAAAAGGAGTTCCTAATGAACTCTCTGTTGGACCTGTTGGTCGCTATCTCACATTCCTTACTCCTTGTTACTGCAGGCAACCCAGAGCTGAATTTTCCCTCTGTGCTAAACAGTGATGTTGATAGCGCTGGAAACCACATCTATCACAAAGACTATGGCCTCCGCTCTTTCGACTCTGGGTTTGTTCTTCACCAGAAAACAAGTGAACAAAGAGCAAATTGGAAGCCCTCAACTCTTGTAGTGTTTTATGTCAACTGAACCATGAGAGAAGCTCGCTGACTTCCTTCCGCCAGTTCACTTCTCCCATATGAGGATAAACAAAGTCAATGTTGCCAGCGTGGAAACAGTGGCATTCCCAACACAGCAAGGGAAATTTTTGGAGTGATATTTTTATTTAACCATTTTTAACTTATGGAAATTTTAACGCAAATTACTCTAATTTCATTCAAACTAAAATAATTTATGACGAATTAAAGTTTTAATTAAATTAAATTTTATTAAAGAGGAATGAAAGTTTTAAAACAAATAGCATTTTTGCATCTTATAAGAGCACTACAAGATTAACTAAAGTAAAGTGATCAAAGTAGTTATTTCTCTATGGCACATTGTTGTAAAAGCCACTGGGATTCTGTTTATTCAATTTCACAACTTTGTATTAACATTTTATTTTACACTGAAATTATTCCTACCCATTTCAACAACCTTTTAAGGCTTCTTTTTTAAAAAATTTAAAATGTGTTTCTCGACATTATAACATACTCTGCCACACAAACAATGAAATCAATAAGAATTTGCAGGATAAGACAATAAATATTGACTGATATTAAACTGAACAGAAAATAGTGATGTGAAAGCACCTGTCTTGCAATTTTTATTTTGTCAGCTGGGTATCTGACAGACGGGGAAGCCCATTACCACGCTTAGAAATATCCAAACCAATAACAACAAATTTCATTTATGTAGCGCCTTTATGTGAGCAGGACG